AGGGGGCTCCCCTCGCCCCCCACACCCAGCCGGCCAAGGGCGGGCAGTGAGAGCAGCCCCCCGTGCAGGCTGGGGTGGGATGGTGGCGGGGGGCCTCCCCGACTCACCCCCTCTCGCTCTCGAAGTCCTTGGGCCGGTACGGGATGTAGAAGTCCTCGTCCCGCTGCGCCGGCTGCTGCAGCTTTTTCCTGGCACCATCTTCTCCCCCTCGGCCCCGTTTTCGCTTCTGGCCCACTACAGTGGAGAACACGTCCTGGAAGGGGATGGTGGATGGGATGGAGGAGCTGTGTCCCCTCACCAGTCACTGCACTGGCCCACAAACCCTGGCATAGCCCGGGTGCCCTGGTGCTGCCAGCACCCAGCGCAGGCTGCCTTGCAGCAGCTCCACCCGCTTTTTTTTTTACCTGGAGGTTTTCCTCCTCTCCTTCTTCTCCCTCCTCAGGGCTGGCAGGGGCTAGGGATGGCCCCTGCCCTTTGAGAGCCGCTGCCCGCTTCTCCTGCTGCCCACGCTGGTACTTCTCAATAAGGGCATGGTCATGGCGTCGCTTCGACCGCATCACAGTGCTGGCCGGCGTCCGGGACGTGGCATTGATCTCAAAGATGGTCTGCTCCCGGGGTGGGAACAGAAGCCCCGGTGAGCTGCACGGCTGACCGCAAGGACCTTCTCTCCCCACCCAACCCAGGCACCTCGTGCCCGAGGACGGGTCTCAACTCACCGCCTTGGACTTGTAGGTTTTAATGCTGTCCACGAACTTCAGCCTCTCCAGCTCGGTGTCTTCGAAGCGAGCACCTGGGGAACGTGGGCACGGAGAGGGGCACAGATCAGCTCCCTGGTGAGGGGAATGGGGTATCCTCCCTTGGCATCCCCAGGGCACTCACTGAAGAGCGGGTGGATGCCCAGCTGGGACACATCCAGGTCCTTCGCCCTCTTGATGGACTCGGGCGAGGGCCCAGGCCGGGACCGCAGGTACTGCTTATGGGCGTTGTCGGCGATGCGGCGCAGGCTGCGCAGCTCCAGCGAGCCCTCGTGGTCCGTCAGCAGCAGGCACTCCTCGTCGTCCACCAGGCTCTGGGGGACGCGCCCCAGGACCCCGCCAGCATCTGCAGCCCGGGGGACGCTGTGTCACCTCGCTGGAACCCACCCGGGATTGCTGCAGCGGGCACGGCAGCAAGCCAGGATTAAACGAGCAGAGCTAAGAGCCACACGGAGCTCGGCAGTGTTAAATCTGCATCCCTGCTACGGGGGGAGTGTCGGAGCCCCCAGCACCCCATTTTCCCCAGCTGCACCCCTATAACAAGAGCTCACCACCCCTCTACACAAATGCCAACCACAAGACCAGGAACTGCAGCACTGGCCGAGGATAAAACTGAAGTGGACACATGGCCAGTGTCCCAGCTTGGACATGCAGCCACCCTGATGCCTGCCTTACCAGCGGGCATCTCCTGGGCACCAGCAAGGACGAGTGGGCGTCCCAGGAAGAGGTGGAGGTCGAAGACGTAGGGCATCTCATCAGGAGCCACCAGTGAGTAGGCAGTGCCGCTCCGGCCAGCTCGGGCCACGCGACCTGGTATGGGGAAAAGGAGAGTGGGAAACCAGACCCAGTGCCAGCCCAGCCTGCCCCAACCCAGGCAGGGACCCACTGGTGTCCCTGGGAGCCCACGCACGTGACATTTACCAGGTGCGCATGGCTGGCAAGGGGCTGTGGGTTGCTGGGGAAGGAGGCAAAGGGGAACCCACCACGGTGCCATCAAAAGGGAAGACACCAGCCCTGCACCCAAAGCCCCCACAGCCCAGGGATGAGAAAAATGGGACAAAGGACCGCCCGCTCACACCTTCCTTGTCACCCTGAGGGACCCCCAGGTTCCAAGGAGCCCTGCACGGTGCGCTGGCACCCACCGACGCGATGCAGGAACAGCTTGCCCTTGGCGGGGAAGCTGTAGTTGATGACGTTGTCCAGCATGGGGATGTCAAGCCCGCGAGCGGCCACGTCGGTGACGAGCAGCACCGGGCACTTGCCCTGGGCGAACTTGGCGATGTTAATCTTGCGGGCGGTCTGGTCCAGCGAGCTGTAGATGTGCGTGCAGTGGATGCCCTGGGCCGTCAGCAGCTGGAGCAGCGGAGAGATGTCAGATCCCACCTGGGCACACACCCTCAGACAAGGGACAGAGTCCCCAGCTCCCAGGGCCCTGAGATCCCAAGGTGCCCACCTGGACCCCCAAATCCCAATGTGCTCTCCCCTCTCTCCAAGGAGCACCTCCATAATCACATATACTGGGATTTCTCCTTCAACCCAGGGAAACGGAGGCAGAGACTCCAGCAGGGACGTGCCCACAGATGCAGATGCCACGTTGGCCTGGCAAGGGGCCCTGGGCACCCCCAAATGCCACTTACCTCCTTGAGATACTCCGTGTGGTGCTTGGTGGCCACAAAGACGACTGTCTGGTCCTGGGGCTTCACCACGCTCCGCAGGAGGTGGAGCAGCACTGCCGGTTTGTCATCCCCGCGCACGTGGAAGAAAGACAGCTGCAAAGGGAGGGCAGAGCTCAGCCCCTCTGCATCCCCACATCAGACGCTGCCACCCCTTCTGTCCCCTCCTTGCCAGCCTGGAGCCACCGCAGCGTGGCCTGCAGGGGGTAGGGGGCACAAAGGTCCTGTTGACCCCCTCCAGCCCCTCTCACCTTGAGCTGCTCACTGAGCTTGGACTCCACATCCAGACGGATCAGCATGGGCTCGGTGAGACCTGGGGGATGTGGTGACACGCAGGATGTGGGTGGCATGTGGGACATGCTGCTGGGACCAGGCGCATCCCTCGATGCGGGGACACCTGCTTGGCCCAGCTGCGACCCAGCTGAGTTTTGCCAGTCCTGGGCCCAGCCCAGCTGCAGGACCATCCCATGTCCCCGTCCCCAGGCTCCCCCCAGCTCCAGCCCCCGAGGTGCCGTCTGCCCTGCGCTCCTCACCAGCCCGGGCAAACTCGACGAGCAGCTTGGGCAGGGTGGCGGAGAAGAGGACGGTCTGGTGGCAGTCCGGGAGCCGGGCGATGATCTCCTGGAGCTGCTCGGCGAAGCCCATCTCGAAGAGCCTGCAGGGGAGGGGACACGGGACATGGCAGCGCCCGTTCGGTCCCTCTGTGCCCAGCCCTGCCGCCCCCCAGGGCACCTCATTCCCACTGTTGCTCACCCCACTTGCAGGGACTGTGCCAGTCCCGGGGACCCCCCTGTGCCCCACTGACCTGTCGGCCTCGTCGAACACCACGTACTCCACGGTGTGCAGCTTCAGTTTCATCTCCACTGCCACGTGCACCAGGCGCCCGGGGGTGGCAATGATTCTGCGGGGACAGAGCTGGTGACGGGACCAGGTGTGGGGGGGACACTCTCCCAGGTGTAGGTCCCAAATCTGACCCGTGGGGAGCACGGGACGATGCTCCATGGGAACACCAGGACATGTCCATCGGGTGCGCTGGCTGTAGACAGCAGCGGTGTCCCTGGATGGTGGGTGGCTCTCAGGGGCCATTTCCCTACCAGGTCCCCACCCCGTGCCCCCACTCACATGTCAGGGTTCTCATGCAGGGCGGCGAACTGGTCCTCCATCCTGCAAAACCAGGGAGAGGCTGGGGTGGCACTGGGCGGCACGGGGCAGCTCGGCCCCTCGCCAGGTTTTGGGGAGGCTTTAGGGAAGCGGGGACCGGTGGGGACGCGGGGACGGCTTACTTGTCTCCTCCCAGGATCAGGGCTGTCTTCAAGCCCGTGAACTTGCCCAGCTGCGGCGTGAGAAAGAAACACGTCAGCAGGAGGGAACCAAACGCCTC